CTTTCTTTCTTTCTCTCTCTTTCTGTATATGGACGACCTCTCCTCTTCCCTGTGTAGCACAGATGTGTCTGATGTCAAGTACTCCATGTAACATGCACCCTCACCTGTATCTCTAACACTTGGGATCACCCGTGGAGCCACCTGCGATGGCCAGGCTCTGCCCAGGCCGATGTGGCACCCCCATGTGATCTGTTCCCACCTGTATATAGACCAAGCAGAAGCAGAACCGAAGAAGTAGCCTTCTTCTCACTACTGCTTCAGGCAAGTACCCTAGCTTGGTTTAGTTTAGCCTTTCAATAACAACCACTACTGCTTCAGCTTCAGCCTGAGAAGCCAGACAGGGACAGAGCCCGAGTGAGAGCCCCCTGCTGTATGCTCCTGTTACTCTGCCACTGCCCAGGCTGTTAGCGTCAAGGGTTACGCCACTACCCCCACCTCCCTGTGCCATCCCTGACAGTGGGTAAGCAGCAACTTGTGGTGCTGCAGTTCTCAGAGAACCAGTTCGAACTGGGACTGAACCATGAACCAAACCATACTGGAACCAAACTGTGGTTCGGTTCTGATTTGATTCCAAACAGTTCAGTTCTGGTTCTCCAAGTTGGGAGGGTATTGCAAACTGGTTTAAACCAAACCAAACCACAGAACCATTGAAGGATTGTAGCCTCAGCCATGATGTTGAATAAACAGATATTGTGCATACATTCATCAAGTATTTTGTTCATGGCTTCAAAGATCAAGGTCTTTGTGTTGGACGCATTTGGGGATGGTGTCAGGGACAGCTCCAAAAGCGGCAATGTCCTGGTGTGAGGGACCAGATGGGGTAGGTGCCAGCTGTGCATAGCAGCGATCTTGTTGTGGGGTGAGCATCCCTGACCACTTAGTCTGAAGTGGGAAGTTGAGAAGAAGGCTGCTTCTTCTGTTCCCACCCCAGGTGCTATTATATACAAGCGGTCAGGGTCACGTGGGAGGAGCCACGTCATCTCCATGCACAGCTGCACCTCCCCAGGTGTCTCCATGGGAGATCCCAGAGGTGTGCCGTTCTGTGAGTGGGGATGTGTGCGGCAGGTGTGGCGATCAGGGGAGGTGTTACAGGAATGGGTTCCAGGGAACCCAACCTGAGCCGTTCGGCTCACTAATGGAGGTGGCTGCGTAGCCATTGGAGGGAGAGCAGAATAGGATGAGGGTATGGGAGTACAACCTGTGTGTCGGCCATCGGTAACTTGGCACTCCTGGGAGCGTACCGGTAGCGAGTATGATGTGGGCTCCTTGAGGGAGCCACCTGGCTGTCTGCTAACGGGGACTTGGCGCTCCTGGGAGCGTGCCGGTAGTGGGTGTGTTGGGAGTGTCTGGCTAACGGTGACTTGGCGCTCAATGGAGCATACTGGTAGTGAGGGATACTGGGACTCCCAAAGGGAGTCTCCCAGTTGGTGGCTATCGGTGACTTGGCGCTCATGGGAGCATAGCGGTAGTGGGAGTTGTTGGGGAAAGCGGGCTGGTGGACCAGTGCACGGTAGTGGGTGACCGTGGGAAGTGGGACCCGCAGGTGTGTGGCCAGGCATCCTGGAGCTGCCTGGACCATATCCTTCTCCTGAGGAGGTGGGATAGGCTACAGTTCCTGATAGGGAACTTCTGGTTGGATGGGAGTAACCACTCGACCACCCAGTGGACTGGTGGGAGTGGACAGCAGGAGGTTGGGCATGGGAATGCCCTCCTCGTTGCGGTTTTGTCATGGAGAGGAGGAATAGGGAGGTGGACATGGTTCCAGGGTTACAGGTTGAGTTTACAGTGGTGGCACAATGGTGAGGATGTTACAATCGCGGTACAAGGTTTTTGGGTTCTGTATTTTATAATGAGAAAACATCTCGGCAATTACCATACATGTCATATGACTTGTATCTATCTAATACAAATGTTATAATGGCCAAAGGAAGTCCTTTGGAAATCAACAAATCCCCCAGCCAGCACCAAAACCCAGTGGGAAAGCTTGGCATGGGGTTTGGCAGAGAATGAAGTGAGAAGAAGTAAGAAATATCTTACCTGTGTGCCTGGTCTATAGGAGTCTAGGCCCATTTCCATAGCAAAGGGCCTCAAGGTCTGGTTGCCTGTCACGGACCATAAGATTCTCCATTTCCATAACAGGAGGGGTTAGGTGTGTAGTAGTACATGGAGAGGGGGAAGTTGACCATGGGATAGAAAGTAGAAAGAAGAAAAGGAGGAATGGGGGAGTGCGGTAGCGCAGCATGGTGCAGGATGTGGTGCAGGGTCAGGCAGGGCATGCCCTGACAGATGGCCGAAAAAAATTGAAAAGGAAAATTGGCTACACACATTTGGAGTCTTGGACACCTGGTGCAAATCTGGCAAATTTTGGACAAATCTATTGGGGCCTGAAAGCAAGTTCCATATGGACCAAAAATCCAATTATCTGGTTGGTGGTACAGGCCTGTTTGAACCCTTCTGAACTGAATCAAACCGGGACCGAACCAAAATGCAGTTTGGTTCAGTTCAGATACTGGTTCAGTTCTGGTTCTGGTTCTCAAAAAATGGCCCCAGAACCAAACCAAACCAAACTGTGGCACCCCTAGTGTTAACTGCTTACACACACTGTAAAATACACACCTTTGTATCACTTACGGCCTTGTGTGCTGAGCAACCCCCTGAGACCTCACAAGGCTGTGATCAGAGTTGCTATTTGTATTGCAAATACAGTCTGTAAATAATCGGCATGTGAATGAAATGTTGATGAGCAACTTATGATCTCGGAGCTGGACTAGAAGCATGAAGCTCAGTCTCAGCTAATATGCGTGAAGAACTAAATTGTATTACCTAGAAGCGTGAAGCTAAAGGTAATATACATATTGTAAGTTACAATTGTAAAGGAAAAGGAATGTTATAACTAACCTCAGCTAATATGCGTGAAGCACTGAGGGAAAAGAAATGAATTCAAAATGAATGAATATATCCGTGGCCTGTCACGGGTCAGTCCGAAATAATATAAAAGAGGTGTTGTGACTAAGTAGTCACGCTACCGCGGGAATGTGGCTGTCCGGGCGAGTCCCTCGCTCGGATGTGGGAATGTGGCTGTACGAAAACTCGTCCGGCCTCCCATAGCACACGGTTCCTCCAACACGAAATGTCCCTGGATCTGAATCGTGTGTGTCGGCAGTACAGTGGGGCCCAGGCCGCATCCCTCAATAACCCAAACAGTGTAATCTGCGCAAGGTCTACTGAGGTCAGGTGTAGTGGGTGGTGGCAGTGCCACCTCTCCTATATCACGCGACCACATGCAACAAACGGGACATTGCCACCTGCTTATCGCCGGGTCTGCGCCTTAACCCAGCACTTACACTAAACGGGACTCGCCCCCTTTGTTCTCCGATAACACCAGGTGCATCCCCTAGCATTCAATTCTTTCATTGCAAGCGTGTGCTAGGTGCTGTCCTCGACCCATGTCGCTCCAGGATGGACAATCAGTGCTGCAATCTCTCAGGACGCAGCTCCTGGAGATCGACGAGCGCAATCTTGATGGCCAGGTGGTTCGGATGCGAGAGAATGCGCGAGGTTGGGGGGCTATGGGTATATCTATAGAGGTTTCTACAACCTGGTTCGTCTCTGTCCAGACTCCAAGCGTCACCTTTGGTCAATCTATTTCGTCTGCTTTTAGCGGGTGGTTTGTATCAAGGTTTTTAAATATGTCGATCTCGAGCAACGGGAAACTAAATTTATTCAAGTATGTGGCGTCCTTCCGTACGTGTGTGCGGACCTCAGATTGCATATCCTTCCCAGCGGTTGAAGCGCGAGTTGAAAATTTGGTGTCGATTAACTCACTGCCACATTGTACAACTTCACGGTTGGCTACTTCACCTGGAGAACGAGAATGAACCTTGCCCAAGCCTAGTTTCTAATTGGTGCGAGGATGGAAGTGCAGTCGCATTCCTGCGCGGTAATACTAATGTTGATCGCACACATCTTGCAAGCACGAACTTCTTCCACGATGTCAAGGTGATCACTGAATTGTTGGAACCAGATTTGCGGGATTGGGAAGGGCTTGGAGTATCTCCATTCAGAGGGAATAGTGCACGGTGATGTTAAGCCAGTCAGTAACTGTGTCGGGGGTTCGGCGAACTTGAAGAACGATACTCTCACCAGGACAACGTCGTGATCAGTGATAATGAAGCGCAACTGTGTGACTTTGGTCTTTCTTCCATTCTCTCCGATGTATCCACGCATGCCACTTCCACAAGCTTAGTTGGAACACTGCGATATCTGGCCCCAGAGTTGTTCCTCTCCCGATGCCTTTTCGGACCAAAAAGAGCGATGTCTGGGCTTTCGGATGTACTGCTATGGAGGTACGCATGTCGTCTGCACCACCAGGTAGCGGCAAATTAAAGTATGCGAAGATCTTGCGAAATCAGAAACCACATGAAACTATATGCAACATGATGCACTGGCAGCTGCAGACGGCCCTTTACTGGGCCAGTCAGCAGGGAGAACGACCGTTCAAAATCACCGATCCAAGTCCCTTGGAAGAAAAACTAATGTGTTGTATGGAATACGATGCTAACCTTCGGCCTGACATGGACACTATAATGACAAACCTTGAGTATGATTCTCAACCGCCTAGGCATCAATTATCTGACGATCTACTGCCAGTCCAGAATATGCTGCCCAGGCAACTTCATTATCCCACCCAACCACATTCACAAAGGTGCTTGAAGAGGCACTCAGTGACTATAGGGGACTTAACCTCGAAGATGTTGTCTTCACGAGTTCTCCAGTGTACAAAGGCCGTCATTGGGAGTTGTGTAAAGGGCTTCGTAAAGTTGTACGTCTCGTTTCCCCATTCAAGCCAACACTAATGACAAAACTGGTTAGAACAACCAAGCGGTTCGCTTGAAAGTGCTGCGACTAACCCTTTCGGACGGAGCCGTGTTAAAGGGATTCGTCCATGTGCGCTGATTGCTGCTATCAAATGCAGAGGTGGCTGACTAGTGTGAAATTTCCAGCGAATTATGGAACAAACCAGGATATGGTATAAAGCGAGACATCCCAATGTAGCCAAGGTTCACGGATGGATGTTGCAGGTAGATGATAGTGGGAGTTTACAAGCTTGTTTGATTTCAACATGGTATCCCAACGGGGATATCACATCCTACTTGTTGCAGCATCCTGAGGCAGATCGAGAGGACCTGGTATGCTCGTTTGGTAGCTAACTGAAATACTCAACTTCACCTCTTCAATCAGATATGCAATATATGTTGGGGCCTAAAGCATCTTCACGCAAATGACACAGTCCATGGAGACCTCAAACCGGTACTTACACTTGTGTCTCACTTGAGCCCCCGTTAATCGTGCCAATAGACAAACGTCATGATGGGAAACCGTGGAATTGCCATTCTGTGCGATTTCGGATTGTCGTCGTTTCTCCATGGTGCTTCCAGTTCCGCGTTCACAGGGGCCCTGCATGGGCTTCGCAGTGTACGATATACAGCTCCACAGCTTCTGGAGGATAATAGCGTTAACCCCTGCAGTAAGGAAGCTGACATCTGGGCGTTCGGTTGTGTTTCTATTGAGGTAGGTGCCATCGATTCCCATTTGACCCCACATTTGCAAATTCTATTCTTCCAGATCCTATCTGGACAACGGCCATACAATAAAATCGACGATGAGAATGACTTGTGCAACAAAATTCTTGATGGTGAACCTGCATATACCCCGGACGTTTTTCAGAGAGTCAAAGTCAAAGATATCATCAAAGATTGCCTGAAGGTTCCCGCACTGAAAAGACCCCATGTGAAGGCATTAATTAATGTCCTTGCACCTTAGTTCATCCGTCCCTTTGTTCTTGTCCGGAAGGTGTCAGGAGTTGCCTGCCAACCTTGCAAAGGACGAGAGACTGATGGACATGGCACCCCCACAAATATGGTTGGACTGAGATGGCCAGATTCGACAGTAATGTGTATATATTTCTCCAAGGCAGACCCTCCATTGAGATATGCAATACATGTTAAAAATATAATCCAAGATGTTGTTGCTGAATATCTCGCCAGCGGCACCACTGGCCAGTGTGGGTGCATAGCATGCAGCATGAAGCATTGAGTGGGAGCATACCCTTGTCCCATGCATGCGTCAGCCCTCTCTGCTCTGGCCACCGGAACACAGCAGAAAGCATCCCAAAGTCCATTTCAAAGTTTGGGCTCTCCTGCACCCCAAGTTCTATTAATGCCCCGGTGCCCGAGGCACTGATGTGGATTCACATGTCGTGGGAATAGACCACGCGTCACGCGAGGACCTTGGATTGAATTGATTAGCAGCCTCCGGCAACTCCCGGAGGCTGTGGGAACCGGTTGTTGGTCGTGCCAGTACAGTAAGCTTAACAAATGAAATGTTGTTATGCTGACTGCTAGTCAATTGCTTGATAGGACACATATGAGGCTGGTGTCAGAAGTTGGGCTCCTAGCGGATCGGATTGGTCCGGATCCAGATCAGAATCCGTCGATTTTTAGAGGTTTGAAACAAAAACCGTATCCAGCAGTTAGAAATCCGCAGATATGCAGATCAACTGCAGATTATAGATAATACATTCCAAAATTATATTAAAACAGCCCTGATAAGAGCTTTCTAACAATACCAAATATGTCCATATTGGTGGACAACTGACAGAGATATGGGGAAAATGGCACAAAAGATGGGTGTGTCAGGGACTCATCTGGGGTCAAGGAAGCCCAGGTGTAGCGTCCGGTGCTGAGACCCTGGCAGGGTGTGGATCAGGCATGTGTACTGGCAGGTCTGATCCAGGACAGTGGTCCCTGGCCACTTAGACTGAAGTGGAAAGATGAGAAGAAGGCTACTTCTTCGGTTCCCACTTCAGGTATGTTTATATACATGCAGCTTGGGTCCCATGATGGATGCCATGTCACCCTCACACACAGCTGTAACCACCCAGGTGTCTCCATGGGAGATTCCAAGGGCATCCATTGCAAGCACATGCACTGGGCACAGTGGGAGGTCACCCAAGGTGCTCAGGCCAGATGTGTCATGGGTGTGCTACAGGTGGGTCAATGGTACATTGATACAAGGGAGGGTTGTCCATGTAAAATAAAGAGAAAATAAAGAAGTGAAATAGAAAGGAAGTGAGGAAGCAGAAATGAGGATGGGGAAAGGAAAAGGGGGAGGTGAGGAGGGGTGGACAGTGGGGTGTCAGGTCAGATGGGGTCAGGTCAGGTGGGTGTGCCCTGACAGGGTGTCAGATGCCAAATTTGGAAATAACAGGCTTGGGTGGTTAGATTGGACTTGAAAAAATTGGGAGAAAATATGGAAACATAGGAGGGGTATCTAGGAAAGTGGGATATATTTAATCCATGGATAATCCACCTATCTGTGGACTAGAAACTGTGGATATTATCCTCTCAAAAGCCACAGTAGAGTAACAGTTACAGTAAATATGGGGAATTTCACCCTTATTTGCCTCAGATCTCCTGCATATCTGCAAGCAATAAATCATGTGATGAAACTGCAGATCATCTGCAAATCTGCAGATTTATAACTGCAGATATTTTCCTCTGAAAATCCAAAACCAGATCCATGAATTTGTCAGGGCGTGGGAAAACATTACCGTGACTCGCTGTCGGCGACCGTTAAGGTCCGCTGCTTTGGCGTAACAGCCCGTCAAGGGCGGGGATGACAATTGCAGCGGAAAGGGGTTTCGGCTTCAACGACTTGTTTGTGAGCGTTGCGCCTCATACTTGACACGGCCCCGATATTTCAGGAGGCAGGGGGTGCGACTGGGTCAGACAGAGAGTGCAGGGGGTAACCCTAGTTGATTTTCGAACTAAAGTACGAGGTAGCATACAACCGGTATTTAAGTATAATGGAATGAATAGAAATAAGTCACCAGATCTCACGGAGATTGCAGGCGGGGTTAAGAAGGAACGAAAACAAACAAAGAGCGTGGGAGAAGGACGGCCGTGCATGGCCGTCAAGATAAACAAGCGTGATAAGGAAAGGCTCGTAGGCCCGTGACAGGCCGTGGAAACAGGTAGCGATGACAGGGAAGGGTGACGGGCTTGTTCAGGCGGCATCGGGTGGGCAGCGGAGTTGACGGGGTCGAAGCGGGGGAGGGAGAAGATGTGGGGAGTGATCACCTGACTGTGGGAATTGCCGGGTCATGACAGAATTTCCAGATGCAGTTGCGGATATCCACAGATCATCCAATCCACTAGGAGCCCTAGTCAGAAGGTTGGCCAAGGCAACATACTTCTCATCATGGATAGTGAAAGGCCTCTCTGGGGAACTTAACTGGGCATATAGTGGATCTGAGAAACCTCTGAGGCCGATTGAAGGGTTGAGATCATTTCAACCTCACATGATTTACAACTAGAGACCTTTAACCTGTGGGGTACTTGTTCCTCACACACCCACATGTTTAGCAGTCTCTAGCTCCTGCAGAGGGCATCAGGGCTGCACCCCAAACCCTGCTTGCTCCTGCAGAGCACTTGGGGCACTGCTCCAAACCCCATTGTTACGGTTAAGCCATAACTGTCAGGGCACACACCCTGACTAGCCTGGACCTGCATGTGCGCTTCCACCCCACATGCTCCGCATGCCACATGCTCCGGGACTGGTTCCCATCCTTCATGTGACTTCTGGGTATCCCCGGAAGTTTTCGCCATATTGGGCCACTGTGGGAAAGTGAGAAGTTAACCTTCTTCTCACTTTCTTACCCACAGTAGTTGTGCCCTGGACAGGGCTGTTCGCAGGTTAGACTGTGGGCCATAGAGAGGGGTCAAGGGGACCCAGGGTCCATCCCCTGACAATAACCCTGAATGGACTTGACAGACATCTCACATGTCTTGCCTATTTCAGTTCTGTCTCCAGTCATGTAGCTTTGCAACTGTCAAAAACCCGGATCGTAGGGGTAAATGCATGAGTCTGAATGCAGGCAGGGCTCAACTAGAGGGGGATCCGAGAGCTCTGGTAGTGGGCCGAAGCTTCTCCAGGAAGCCTGGTTCTGCTGGATGGTACAAGAGGCTCTAAGAAGGACGCGGCCTCAGCGACTCGGAGGGAGCGCTGTGCCTCCATTACGTCTCAGTTAGTCCTTGTATTTCTTATGTCTGAGGTATCTTGTAGAATGGGAACGGGATTTATAAAGGGGAATGGAAAGGACTTAGTCAAAGTCCGAATGACAATGGGACAACACCGAAAGGTCCCAAACGATATCTTTAACAGGGAACCAAGGTGTCGGACCAAGGAGGGCGGAGTAAGAGGCTGGAAAATGAATGGGAACAAGAAATGGGTAAGGGGGGGTTAGCTGACTGAATGATAAGAAGAAGATAGTCATGCTAAGAATGGAAGGTGACTAATAAGTGATGACGTTGCAAGAGGGCTCGCGGCTCTCTATGCCGACTAAGCTCGTGGGGCCAAACTCCCTAAAACTCCTACTTCTTGACTAGACTTTGCTTATCTCGATCCTTAAACTCCGTGTGGGTTCTCTGGGATTTCCACAAGGTCCGGGCTCAGTGTCCACTACTCACTCGTTGTGAGCTAGATCACTGCCCTTATTCCTACTGTTGGAATCCACTCACTCACACCCACTCTAGCGTGTCCTAGCACCTTAGAGAATTTGGGGGGAGGGGAGAACTTCCTTTCAAAAATCCGGTATGTACAGGATTATAAGAAATAATTATTTTTAGAAATAATAGATGGGAAATATTGGTGCCATATGGCACCTGCATACCTTATTAGGCGAAATAATAAAAAAAGGGTAACAGTAACAATAAAAGAATATCAATCAATATCTGAAATGATGGCAAAATATGAAATAAAAGAAAATAAGCGATTTCTCAACGGATTTACGGAATTAAGATCCGAAATTGGAAATGTGACTGAATAGAACTACTATGCAGCCAATGAGCATTTTTACCAATTTATTAGACGCCGTGGGAACGAGTGAGGCTGGAATTCTGGGTTGCTGCTTGAGATTCCCACGCCCGCACATGCCCGTGACCTAACTTCTCCAACACGGAACTCCATCAAATCTCCACCGTTTGGGACGTTCTTGGTATCGTCAGAATCGTACGAATTAGGACTATTTTTAGATACCGAATCCGTATCGAGTTGTCGCATGAATGGAAGGGATTTTCTAATCGTGGAAACGGGTATCCGAGCCGGCGCTGCACGTGGGCGATTATCCCGCCTACAACGTGAGTGAGATCACCAAAGGATGTGGGTAACTCCGAAAGTGGAGTGTTATAAAAATGGGGCCTAATTGGCCCATTTCTATAGCATTCGGGTGCAGGAGGGGGCTGTGACATTGAGAAGATGTTACAATTAATGTAACAGATGTTGTAACAGTGGTGTTTACAATAACATGGACATCGGGTGTTTTGGGTGATAATAGTTGGTTCAGTTCTATTATTTACATGTCACATGATAATGTACTGAACAGAGGCCATAAGAGGCTAAAAATGGGAATTTCCCATTTCCATAACAGGGAGTTACGTATGTATCCAAAGGATGTTGGGTGACTCAAATAAATGAAATGGGTGGAGGAATGGTTTTAAGGGTATGTCATGGGATGTCGGAGGTCCATCGGGATATCAGAGCAAATCCGGAGTCTCCAAATGTTCCAACTCAGGACCGAGCTTCTGGGATGGGAGTGGCCAAGGTTCAGTGTGCTGCAACCAGACCGGGGCTGAGACAGTCAGGAGGGAAGGTGACTTGGGGAGTGGGGAGGCATGGTGTAGGGGATGGTGAAGTTGATAGGAAGGTGTGGTGTGGTGGGAGTGCACGGGGTCGGGATTCCGGGATATGACAGCAACTACCTG